CCACACCCACACCCACCGACACCCACACCCCACATCCACACTCACACTCACACCCACACCCACACCCACACCCACACCCCACACCCACATCCACACCCACACCCACACCCTCTCCTTTTGTGAATAAAAAATGTGTTGTTTTTGGTGATTTCAATGTTGATCTAAGACAAGATAATAGTAAATCTGAAACACTGCTTAGTTGGGCTGATAAAAACTTTTTAGCCCCATATGCACCTGATACACCAACTTCTTTACGCTCTAATAGAGTGATTGATTATGCCTTTGCGTGGGGTACGAGCCTAGATATTCAAACATCTACTAGTAACACAACTAGTGATCATCTACCTATTTTATCAATCATTCCCACGATGATGACTCTAAACGGTACAGGAAAAGTGTTCACTGGAATGTTTTCTCACTTTTTTCTGAATACACATTTTCTTTCTGGGAAGAAAAATGGAATTTAGAGAAGATAGACAATACGTATAATGCTTATATAAGGTTCCTACATCTCCTAACAGCCCGCTGCACAGTTACTTTTCCTCTCGGAAAATATCGCATAGCACTTTCTGTCGAGCTAAGATCGTTTATGTCCTATGTAAGAGCACTATCATTTCGCCAATTGAGAACAAAAAATGTAGAATTAAAGAAAGAAGTTCAGTACCTAAGAAAAATCGCAAACAATGAGCTAAGATTCTTTCTTTCTTCTCAACTTTCCTCAATCTTACGTCTCCGTAATACCTCTTCACCCATGGCTAGCTGTTTTTGGTCCAAATGTAAGCGTTTTCTTAAACCATCAACCTCCACACTTCATGCACTTGTTGCAACATCGGGTCATATCATCAAGGATCCAAAGGAAATGTGTGAGCTTGCTGCGGACTATTACGAAAGCTTTTTTGAGGAACCAGATATTATAAGACCTCATCCATATACCGACTCTCCACCGGTAGAATTCGAAAATAATGATGAAACTATTCCTGCGGTAACAGAAGAAGAATTATCCTCCACGGTTCTTACAATACGCAAAAAAGTCTCTAGATGCTCATGGCATATCAAATTTCATGTTTAATTTTCTTGATTCCAACCATTGGGCTCTACTTCTACAACTCTATAATCTCTCTTTCCAAAAGGCTATTATACCAAATGCTTGGAAAGATACCCGAATCATCTTACTAGCCAAAAAAGAATCTATATGTGTCCCAGCCTTAACCGGTCCTATCTCTCTCCTAGATTCTTTCCAAAAAGTAGGAGAGAAACTGTTTCTAACACGTTTTCACGATGTGCTTTCTAGAAGAGGTATCTTACCTGACAATCAGTCAGGATTCAGAGATAAATTTCGATTACAAACACGCCTATTACTTTTCTTAGAGGATGTATATAGTCTGATGTCAAACAGTGCACCGGTGTGTACTATTTTTGTAGATTTTCGTTCTGCTTTTGATCAGTTGTGGTTTTTCGGATGCTTAGAGAAATTACGTAAATTAGGTATTCCCCCTTCGTACATAAAATGGATTGAAGCTAGGCTTCTTCACAGAAGGTGCTTCATCAAAATTAAAGAAAAACGTTCGCGTTGCTTCTCGATTGAGAAAGGAGGTCTTCAAGGTAGTGTTTTAACTCCTACGCTATTCATAACCTACAACTGTGATATGGGTCAATTCCTCTCCTGGTGCTCGAGTCATTTCTTCACAGACGATTTAGTAGCTGTTATCTCAGGACGACTAGGAATAAAATACACGGATCAATGTCTTGATCTTGAAAAAAGAATCAAACTGTTCCTTGCTCACCTAGAATTTTACTCCTGTCTATCGGTGCAACCGATCAACTTTTCAAAAACGGTGGCCTTGTTTAGTGCTCGTGCTATTGGGTCACCTAAATTCGACATCCTGCTCAATCATGAAAAAGAGGAAAAAATTAAATGGGTGGATGAGTTTAAGTACCTGGGGTACTGGATCACTCCTAACCCATGTAATCACGAAACGCAAGATCGATGCGTTGAAACGCGGTTTCACAACAAAACGCGTCTAGACGCAATTAAAAACGGGTTCACAACGCATTCAAATGCATTTTTAATATGAAACGCGTTGAGACGCAGTTAGAAAACTTTTGAAACGCGTCTGAACGCAGTTTTTGTATGCAACGTGTTGAAACGCAATTGTAAAAAAACTATGAACCACGTCTCAACGCGTTTCATATTGAAATTGCGTTTGTACGTGTTTAATAAGAGTTTGACTGAACGCGTTCAAACGTGGTGTAATATGAGAAGCGTTGAGACGCAGTTAGAAAAAAATTTGAAACGCGTCTGGACGCAGGTTTTCTATACAAGGCGTTTAAACGCAATCAGAAAAAAATGAACCGCGTTTCGACACTTTTCTGAAAAAAATTTACTGCGTTTAAAAAAATTTTGTTTACGAACTGCGTTCAAACGTGTCTTAAATATGTTTTTCGCTCGCGTTAGGACGCAATCATATTTTCGAGTGCCTTTGAAAGTGTTTATTTTTTGTGTATCGGACGCGATTTTACCCAAAAATTGCTGCTCTAGAAGAGTTAACTGCATAATCAAAATTATCAGCTTACATGTATTTTATTCATCTAAACTTCATTAGACTTCTAATAAAGAATGTCGAGATGACGTTAAAATAGACAAAATTCAATTAAACATAGGGTGAACAGTCCATATTTCTCTAAAGTTTGTAAAAAAAAATAGCTAGATAATATTGTAATAGTTTCCAGCTATGCAATGCCCTTTCAGAATATTGTTAAATACTACTATTTAAATAATATTATTAGTAACTTTTCATCATATATTTCTACTAAATTGCTTGCCAATAATTATCTATTCATTAAATTTTTCGATAAAATTATTTATCATATTGCCAGTACAATAAAAAAGATCGTAATATTTTTTATGTGTAGTAGATGATAAAAAAAAGATGTTATTTTATTAAAAAAATAAAAAACTTATTTAAAAAAATAACTGAAAAGTCATCTTACGTGTTAAGACTCTTGAATTCGAAAAAAATACATCTTGTTAAAATAAAGTATTTAACCGATGAAATTCGTCTTCAAATATATTTTATTTTGAGTAAGACAAGATTTCGAGTTAGTATAACTCAGCGGTATGTATGAACGACTTCTAATCACTGGTTCATCTGTTCAAATCTGATCGTCGTCGCTTAAGGTAAAATCTAATCCATTTGCCAGGGAAGGCTAAGACCATTAAAAAATATTGATGGCGGCAACTCAGTTCGAATCTGAAATGGATTATCATATTTTTTTTCAAAATTTTTAGTTTTTTTATGAAACGCGTCCAGACGCATTAAATGTTTCATCTGGGACGCGTTTTCGCTAAAAATGCGTTTGAACGCAAGTCAAGCTAGAAGCGCATTCACACGCGTTTCTAAAATAAATCGCGTTTAAACGCTTCGTTTGTTTCACTGGGGACGCGTTCAAACGCGTTCACTCTTAGCGTTTCGCACGCAAATGAAACGCGTTTCAGACGCGTTTTGAGGCAAAAAATATTTACATGGGAAGTTAGGCTGGGGAAGAATGATAAAAAAAAACGATGATTAAAGTTAGGCAGCGCATATCTTTAATAAAGTCCTTTAAATCATTTGGTTCTTCATCTCCACAATTAAGACGAACCTCGTTCGCGTCCTTTGTTCTTCCCTTATTTACATGGATCTACCCCCTTTTCCCACTGTTCTCTGAGAAGCAAAGAAACGACCTCTCACACTTCTACTATACTTGTCTTCGTCGCGTTTTGTCCGGACTACATTGGAATGAAAATTTTTTGCGTACGCACTGGATGAAAAATCTCTAGAAGACAGGTGTGTCTCCTACTGGAACAAGTATTTTGGTAGCCTTATCCGACTCTACTGATGGTGAACTACTGATTGAAAAAGCCAACCTGAACGAATTTAGGAAAAGCTGGTTGCAAGGAGAGTTTTCGATCTCTTGTATCAGCAGATCCAAAAGATTCATCCCTCATCAATAAATAATCGAAAGAGCTATCACTTGGATTTCTTCTGTCCCCTCAAGTTCCTCCGTTCCCTCCAATTACATTGAAGAGGTTCTTCTCCTGCAGAATTTCCTGGAAACATTCTTAAACGAGTGATATCTTATTAATGTTTCTTTTCTCTTTGTGTCTCTCTTTCTCTGTTGTTCATTGTTCTTTTATTTTCTTTTTTTCTCCTTGCTCCTACCTACTTTGTTCTTCCTTTTCTTGTGTTTTTTTATACGAACTGTTCATACAATTCTTCCTTTGATCATATTACCAATAACATCTGTGTCATTTCTTTGTTGCCCTCTGTGTCTAGTGTTTCTTCTTCTGACTACTAAATTGTGTGGTGACGCGAAGCTGCTGTTACCGTTATTGTATCTCTCTCATACGCGTG